CACAGCGAGTATCGCCACGTCGCGTCACAGCAAGTATCGTCACGTCACAGCGAGTATCGCCACGTCGCGTCACAGCAAGTATCGTCACGTCACAGCGAGTATCCTCACGTCACAGCGAGTATTGTCACGTCACAGCGAGTATCGTCGCGTCACAGCAAGTATCGTCACGTCACAGCGAGTATCCTCACGTCACAGCGAGTATTGTCACGTCACAGCGAGTATCGTCGCGTCACAGCAAGTATCGTCACGTCACAGCGAGTATTGTCACGTCACAGCGAGTATTGTCACGTCACAGCAAGTATCATCACGTCACAGCGAGTATCATCACGTCACAGCAAGTATTGTCACGTCACGGAGAGTATCGTTCAGGTTCTCACATTGCAAAGCATGCAAACTGTCACGCCGCACCGCAGATCGGCAAAATTATGTTTGTTTGTTCAGAGTCATGCGGTGGATTAATGGTTCGTTAGCTTTGCCATTTGTTTCTACACCTGAAAGTCTGTTGATAAAAGTTATCGGGAGTTTTGTTAGCGTATGAAGTACCAAAAAATGTTTTCTTAATCAAATTATACACAATCTGCGATTAAATGTGTCAGAACGTGCTCATGTTACCCTAACTTACAACATAATCACAAAACAGAATCAGTCCACCTCGCCTGACCATTTCCAAACTCAAGGACAGTGGCCGTCCCCACCCCTTCTGCAACTCCTCCCTGTAATTGAAATTATAACACATAGTTGTTAGATATGAAATAACCTTGACACATATAAGATACCATAAACAATTCTTCCAAACAGGTGAATGTTCCACATTTCTTGTGTAACAACCAAACGGGTCTAAATTTAGCATGGAGCATCTGAAATTGGATGAGTGTGGTAGGCAGGAAATACAAAAATTACCAGTGTCTGCACGTCTGATCACATGCTCATGGTTTCATTCACTTCGTGCGAATTGAAAAATAAAGTATGTCCGAGAGTGTACATTCATACATGCATGTTCATGCGTGCACATGTATGTGTGTGTCTGTGTGCGTGCGTGCGTGCTTGCGTGCGTGCGTGCGTGCGTGCGTGGGTGTTTGCACACTTG